TAATTTTTCATTTAAATGTGACTTTTTATTTAGTTTTTTTTCAGTAATTCATCTTGGTTTGTTACAGCGCATATTCAGGGCGCCTTGCATGACTCCCTCTTAGGCCTTTTTAATGCAAAATCAATTATTTATTCATTTATTTTTAGCTTTCTACCGTGTTATAATGTTGTTTCCTCATCAAAAACATACCTGAAGATGTTTTAAATGTCATCCATGCATGTATACGTAATTTAGTGATCTCCCAGGGTCCTATTTGAACCCTTTTTACGGTTAGCTGTAAGATTCTGTCTAATTTTGATCAAATGCTTTTACATCGGACCAAGTGACCGAGCCATGGTCAGACAGTGACATCGATCCTGGCCACAAAACAATAAATTACTTTTTCTTACGTTTCCAACTTCGTTCACTTCTCCATTCCTTTACTTTTCACGTTCTTGTTCTTCTTCAACTTTTCCCATTCACTTCCCACTTGGTCCTTTAACGCTTCGCTTGGTCCATCGGAAAATAGAATCCCGCGGTCACTCCCGTTGTGACTTTTTGTTGTGTTGTGGCGTTTGTATTTGTTGCGGCGTTTGCATTAAAACAGAGTCCCGCAGTCACTTTTATCATTAAGAAGTTGCCGATACGATACATATCTCGATACACAGGCCGCCATACGATACATACCTCGATACAGTGCACTTTTGATTCGATATATTTCAAATCGATTCGATACGGTTCAATAAAAATAAAGGCTAAATCGTGGCTGTGATACTAAAAGTCTTTGTTAAACCACTTCTTGTGCAAAGTTCATATGAAACACAAACATTTTATTCATCCAAACAGTAAAAATGTCAAATGTGTCGCATAAATGAGTTTCCTTTCACTCCACAAGCAACAAAACTGTAGCTCTGTAACAAAATAATTTAGTAAAACACACCTAAAAGTACTCTTGGTGAAATATCGATACAGTAGCCCACGATATCGATACTGTATCATCACATTAAACGATACGATATATCGATATTCCGTTATTTTTGCACACTCCTACTTTCGCTGTGGCTTTTTTTGGTTTGTTGTCACTGTTCCACCTCGTGACGTCATGTGGTGATACAGGAAGCGCTCCACTGTGTTTTTAAAATCCATACACCTTCACTAGAATCATTTGGACTTTCCTGGAAGTCACTGGATGGATGGACAAAGCCTGGACTTCAGTGACACCGAAACCATCCTGTCGAGATTCAGAAAGACCAGAATAATTCTAACTGGAACTGATGCTGAGTCTGACGACAGCGACACAGAAGAGGAAGCGGCGTCTGTTTACCTCCGGAGGTCGTGGAGTTGCTCAGAAGTGACACCGAGGATGAAGAATTGAATGGATTTAGTGATTTGGAGTGAGATGGAGAGTTTGTTAAACTTGTTCTGTTCTGTTGTTTATGTTATAGTTTATCTGAAGAACTGTTCATATGTGACGTTAACAGTCTGTTGTTCTCTCTTCTATTGTTTTCACTAGAACTTGACTTTAAAGATGAAATGTCGGTTCCTGGTCTCTGATTTTATAAAATAAATTTCCCCCAAAAAGTGTGACTTTTAGTCCAGTGCGATGTTTTTTTTCTTCTTCATTACACATTTTTTGGCTGGTGCGACTTATACTCCAGAGCGACTTATAGTCCAAAAAATACAATACTCGTGGTCAGAATTCCAAATATGGCTCCAAATTCGCTCCTATAACTGCAAACCTCAATGAGCTTCATTTGGCTGGAGTCGATACACTTCTTTATGGTTTATGGTTCTTTATGGTCTCTATGGTTTATGGATAATTAAGTAAAAATTCGAATCATCAAAGCCTGTCATACACACTTTTTTGGTAATTTTTTTTTTTTTTTTTTTTTTTTTTTTTTTTTGTGTGTTGTGGCTTTTTTTGGTTTATTGTGGCTTTTTGTTGTGTTGCGGCGTTTGCGTTTGTCATGAACCCTCCCAGCTTCCGTAATAATAATGATGTTATGTTTACATCCCTGTCCTTAATGTAATAAATGTACGCCCGGTACGTTTGATAACATAACAGCAGAGAAATAATATCTCCATGGCGACAGATTTCCCACCTGAAAAGCTCCACAGTGCTGCTTCAGAACTGAAAAAATACAATAATCCTGTGAGCAAACTTGGACATCCTGACAGGTCTATTTGTGAGAGTCTGATGGTTTGCAGTGGACAAAACACAAGTGTTCCTGAAATAGGGCAGTATTTACATGTCCACTAAATGAGCAGTGACTGGACTAACACCCTGTAACCACACCTGAATGAGCTCAGCTGGCTCTGGCTTCGCTTTGGGTCTTAGTCACGTTTTGAATTATGTGATGTTAAAATAATTGACTATTTTCTGTCTCTTTGTATTAACTTAAATGTTTGTCATGCTGAGCCACAAAAACATACGGGGAAAAACAGCGGGTGAAGGTTACGTTTGAGGGTTTGGCCGGAGCGTGCAGAGCAGTGTGCTGTTTGAGAAGACGTGTTTTGGTTTTCTCAGGTTTTTAGGATTAAACTATGATGCACGTAGATAATTATTTGACGTTTTGTTCATTGTAAACAGCAATATTTGATCTAAAAAGGCCCAATAATTGATCGTTTGCAGCTGATATCTTCAATTCAAAGTGGGTAGGATTTTTAAACATGTTTTTTTCATTTTCTAACTGGTTTTCTTCCATTCTCTTACTTGTTTTTCTGTGGCATTTACCACATTTAACAAAAACGCACATCGTGACAAATACAGATGCATTTGTGCACTTTTATTAGGCAAACTTCAAACACATGTTGCGGTAAGAAATGTATTGACGAGACCAAATCCAAGCGCTTTCAAGACCGAGTTCAAGCACTTTCAAGACCGAGACAGGACCGAGTTCAAGCACTTTCAAGACCGAGACAGGACCGAGTTCAAGCACTTTCAAGACCGAGACAGGACCGAGTTCAAGCACTTTCAAGACCGAGACAAGACCGAGTTCAAGCACTTTCAAGACCGAGACAAGACCGAGTTCAAGCACTTTCAAGATCGAGACAAGGACCGAGTTCAAGCACTTTCAAGACCGAGACAAGACCGAGTTCAAGCACTTTCAAGACCGAGACAAGACCGAGTTCAAGCACTTTCAAGATCGAGACAGGACCGAGTTCAAGCACTTTCAAGACCGAGACAAGACCGAGTTCAAGCACTTTCAAGATCGAGACAAGACCGAGTTCAAGCACTTTCAAGATCGAGACAGGACCGAGTTCAAGCACTTTCAAGACCGAGACAAGACCGAGTTCAAGCACTTTCAAGACCGAGACAAGACCGAGTTCAAGCACTTTCAAGACCGAGACAGACCGAGTTCAAGCACTTTCAAGACCGAGACAAGACCGAGTTCAAGCACTTTCAAGACCAAGACAAGACCAACTTCAAGCACTTTCAAGACCGAGACAAGACTGAGTACCAGTGTTTTCAAGACCGAGGTCAAGCTCTTTCAAGACCCAGTCCAAACGCTTTCAAGACCAAGACAAGACTAAGTCCAAGGGCCTTCAAACTGAGACAAGACCGAGACACAACCAAGTCACGACAGAGTTCAAGCGCTTTTAAGACCGAGATAAGACTGAGTCCAAGCGCTTTCTAGACCGCAACAAGACGAAGTCCAAGTGCTTTCAAGGCCGAGTCCAAGCGCTTTCAAGATTGAGGCAAGACCGAGTCCAAGAGCTTTTGAGATCGAGTCCAAGCTCTTGTAAGACCAAGACAAGACCGAGTCCAAGAGCTTTCAAGATTGAGTCCAAGCGCTTTCAAGACCGAGACAAGACCGAGTCTGAGCGCTTTCAAGGCCGAGTTCAAACACTTTCAAGACCAAGACCAGACCGAGTCCAAGTGCTTTTAAGACTGCGACAAGATTGAGTCCCAGCGTTTTCAAGATTGAGTTCAAGCTCTTTCAAGACCCAGTCCAAACGCTTTCAGACCAAGACAGGACGGAGTCCAAGGGCCTTCAAGACCGAGACAAGACCGAGACACAACCGAGACACGACCAAGACATGATCGAGTTCAAGCGATTTGAAGACCGAGGCAAGAACGAGTCCAAGCGCTTTCAAGACCAAGATAAGACCGAGTCCAAACGCTTTAAAGACGGAGACAACACCGAGTCCAAGCGCTTTCAAGACCACAACAAGACCGACTCCAATTGCTTTCAAGGCCGAGTCCAAGCGTTTTCAAGATTGAGGCAAAACTGAGTCCAAGCTCTTGTAAGACTGAGACAAGACCAAGTCCAAGAGCTTTCAAGATCGAGTCCAAACGCTTTCAAGACTGAGACAAGACTGAGTCCAAGCGCTTTCAAGACTTTGACAAGACCCAGACAAGACCGAGACACGACCGAGTTCAAGCGGTTTCAAGACCTGAGGCAAGCTCGAGTCCAAGCGCTTTCCGAGTCCAAGCGCTTTTAAAGACCGAGGCAAGACCTAGTCCAAGCTCTTTCAAGACGGAGACAAGACCGAGACCAAGCGTGGTTGAATTCGAGACCAAATCCGTAAAAAAACTGTTTTGAGACCAAGGCCGGTCTTGAGTACGACACTACATTTTTTGTTGAAAAATCAAACTCCTGAACAGGACCAGGAACACTTGTAATGATCACAGGCTCCCGAAAATAAGCAGTTTAAATCTAGTTTTAATTTTTTTCACGAGTTTTCAGACCATCTTAAAAAAAAGAATAAATAAATAAAAATTCATATGGTTCCGCTGACTCTCCTTTATATAGTTTATGTTTGAAAATGGAATGGAAAATGTGACAGTTTTGAACCTTATGTGCACTTGGAGTGTTTGGAATAATAAAGCAAGTACAGAGAAGTGGGCGGAGATAGGGGGCAGGTGAAAACAGACATTTTCTGAGCTCTCAAGTCTCAAAAGCAGGACGATACAGGATTACTCAAACATGATTCAACTGAAATAAATCTATGAATATGCCAATAATGAGGGAGCACTGTCAGGACATGGCATTGTGGTTAAAGCGAGGGGGCCGTACCTGTTTTTCGGCGTGGGTTCGAGCCTGTTCCTCTTGGGCCAGGACCACCTCTCTCTCTGCAGTGATCTGAACGCTCTCCCTCAACGCCTCCTCCAGCTCCTCGATACGCTCCTCTTTGTGTCGAAGAGAGTCCTGCAACACAAAGCAAAACAAAACCAAACAATTATAACGAGAAACCGTGTTGTGAAATGAATAATGAATCATTGAAATTGTTGTTTTGACGGTTTGCGGGATTAGAGTATCATCAATTATATCTTCTGTAATAAAATAAAGAAAGAAAGACAGAAATAAAAAGGCTGCAACAAGAGTCGACGAAATAAGACAAACTTTTGTGGTGAGTTTTACACTTCTTTCTCATTTTGTGCGATATTTGAGCCTCAACCATGACACGTACAGGCAGAGTTAAACACGCTTCTCATGTATTTTCACTGCGTCAAGTGAAAATACACAAAAATATGAAATCATGTCAATTATGCCCAACCCTAATGTCAGGTTTCTACAGTCAGTTTCTTCCTGATATTCTATGTTATTAGGTTCTTTTTTTCACACCTAGAGTGTTATTTCGTCGTCCTGCCTCCGCCGGTAGGAAGGCAGCGCCAAAACCTGTTTAAATCAGCTGACCGGACACGTCACAGCAACATCACGTGACTCTGAGGAAGACGCTAGTGAAATAACACTCTAGGTCTGAAAAAAAGAACCTAATAACATACGAATGTTCTGCTGCTTAGACCCCAAGATACTTGAACTCCTCCACTTGAGGCAAGACGAAACTCTCGATTTACTCGTCAGTCCATGTTCCTCCCCTCACCTGTGGTCATGAGCTCTGGGTAATAACGGAAAGAACAAGATCGCGGATATAAGCAGCTGAAATGAGTTTCCTCCGCAGGGCGGCTGGGCGCTCCCTGAGAGACAGGGTGAGGAGCTCGGTCACACGGGAGGAGCTCGGAGTAGAGAGAGAGACTCCTTCAGGAGGTGTTCTGGGCATGTCCCACCAAAAGGAGGCCCCCGGGGAAGACCCAGGACACGCTGGAGGGACTATGTCTCTGGGCTGGCCTGGGAACACCTCGGGGTATCCTCGGAGGAGCTGGAGGAAGTGTCCAGGATGAAGGAAGTCTGGGAGTCCCTGCTTAGACTGCTGCCCCCGAATAAGCGGAAGAAAATGGATGGATGTTTATGCTGCTTAGTGCCTCGTGTGAATTCAGTGTCAATCATGGATCTATAATAAAAACTATTTTTATTATAGTTCTTTGGGGTCAGCTGAACAAAGGAGAGTTTTGTGCTTCCTGTTTCTCATCCCAGAATTCAACAATTACTTTCTAAGATGTGAAAGTAAAAAAAGAAGAAGAAATGTTTGTCCACAAAATTGCAAAGGGCAAAGAATAAAATATCAAAATTGAAATAGGCACGATGACCGTTTTTTGATTAGTGTTATTTGAAATAAACTTTCTAACTAAATTAAATATTGGAAATAAAGGTCAAAATCAGTTTTTTTGTTTGACACTAAAATGGAATAATGAAATAACAAACTCTTTTCCCATTTTATCGTTTTTCGTTCTTAAATGTTGTATAGAGGATTTTCCAAGGAACGAGAAATCCAGCGACTGTTTGTCCTTTTTCAAATGTTGCGCATGTGTGAAACCACCTCCCCTCCCCTACAGCTCCTACGTAGAAACGCCTCCTCCCTCCTCCTCCTTTACGCCAGAAACAGGTTTGTTTACAGCCGGTGCTGCACATGACTTGTAAACAACTAACTACAGTGTTGGTTAGGCAAGACGGAGAAGTGAGGAGCGGGGGGAGCGGGTGTGCGGACATTTCGTTCGCGGACGAGAAGTGAGGAGCAGGAGAGGAGAGAGGAGAGAGAGGGAGCGGAGATTCCGTGCCCGGAGAAGTGAGGAGCAGGGGGAAGAGTGGATCGGGCAGTGGGGAGAGGAGCAGGAAAGGGGTGCAGAGAAGAGTGCGCGGAGATTCAGTGCGAATGAACTAGCTACAACACGCAGCAGCAAGCGGACTCTTTCTTTGCCTTGAAAATTACGTTTTCAGACATAGGATATCGCTTTCGTGTCCTGAAAAACGTTTGTCTCGCTCTTGGAAATAAAGTACGTTTTCATAATAAGCAGAAGTTTCCTGTCCAGGAGTAATTTGTGGACCAGTGCGTCAGTCTTTAGACCCTGCGTCTGCTTCAGTCGCGCCATCGCTGGAATGAATCTTCAAGAATCACCTTAGTTTGGCTTCGCTGCTTTTCCCCTTGTCTTCTTCTTTCAGCGACCTCAAAAACTGGACTTACTTTTGCGGCGAACTGCTCCTGGATTCTTGTCGCAATTGCAACAAACTTTGTGCGAACTGCGAGGAAGATATAGGTCAAAAAAAGCCGCTAAGAACTGTTGCATTGGTGGAGTAAACAGCGTCTGTGCGTCTTGCGTCTGTGGACTGCGTGACAGTCGTACGTAAACCATGTACCGGCGGCGCAGGCAAGTCAATTACACTAGAAACGTAGGGAGTTTGATTGACAGCCTGTCAGCTCACAGATAACGAGGCAGTGTCGTTATCTATTGGCAAATGTTTAGCCCCACCACGTCCAGAGTTGATGAATTTTTATTCTCTTTTTTTTGGTCATCATAATTACAAGGCTACTGCACCTCTATAATCTATCATTGACAATTTGAAACAAAAAAAATCCTCCATACAACCTTTAATTGAAATCCAAAAGAACAAATGGTACACAGACCTTTTAAGACGCATCTCTTTTACTTTGAATGAATGAATTTATTCCAAACATGCAAACTATAAAACAGAACTCACAAATAATGACAGTCACAAAATGGAAGATGTGATACCAATGCAACAGAGCTTTAAGTTTACACGTCCAAAAATAAATGGAAAGAAGCATTTACTGTATTTACTTCAAGTGCAATTAATGAGTTCTGGACTAAATCTGAGAACTGCTCTGAGACATTTTACCCTCTGTGACATAACCGCTCTGGCTCGTTAAAAAAAAAAGAAACCTCCTTGTTCTGTGCTGTTCCTCTGAATCAGATAAAATGTGCTAAATCCAGGCTCTGTTCTTTAATAGCTGCAGCTTTTCTTCTGAGATTCTTCTCTTCAAACTCCCCAGAGATCAGCCTTGGACACTTTCAGTTCACTGAGCAAAAAAGTCTAAAGAAAAGAAATCTCCAGAGCCGTTTTAGCAGCAAGAGATTAAAGAACCAATATTCTGCTTTACTGTGTGTGTTTTATAAATGCACAAGGGACGACTGGAGGCAGACAGACAAGTTTAATGCCACGCTGTGGAATCTGTTAGGTAAACCATTTTAGAGACAGACTAATAATAACAGATTATTCAAGCGTGTGTGAATGAAACAAAACACAAGGTCTGTTTTTGAAGAGGAAACGGCTTTATAACATGACTAAAAGCTCTGAAGAGTCAATTTCGTATAAAAAAAAGACCTTAATTCCCGTAACAACTGTGCTAGATTTTCATCATCTCTGTGGAAATAGAAAAGTTTAAACCAGTAACAACTCCAAGGGAACAACCTGGTGACGTACTCTCCACCAGAAAGAAATAGATGATTTAATTTATAATAATAATAACTTATTTTATTTGAAGATGCCTTTCTAGACACTGAAGGACTCAAGGAATTACCACTGACTTCACTGGAATAGTTCCCTCTATGGAGAACCTGCATGTGACGCTTTGCCCTGGTGAGCCACACTGCCAATAGACCCACATGGTAAAGTTAGCACATTTTCGAGTCGTTCCTTTAATTTTCACATTAAGACACATGCCGGAAAAATGTTGCGCACAGAGCTGTAATCAGCAGAGATAAAGACACAGAGGTTCAGTTGTATCAGACCCCGGTTGAAGCTGACAGACGAAGTGTCCGTACCGGCCTGACAAAGCCTGATCCCGTCAGATCTCAGAAGCTCAGCAGGTCTGGGCCTGGTTTGTACTTGGATGGGAGACACTGGGAAACTCAGGAGCCACAGGGGTCGTTGTGTCCTTAGGCAAGACACTTCACCCACATTGCCTAGTATGAAACAACCACCACTGGGTATAGAAAGAAAAGAATAATGAATCTATAATCCTCTGTAAAGCGTCTTTGTGACATATGTCTGTGAAAAGTGCTTTATAAAAAAAATAAAGACTTAGAAGTGGAGCTGCCATCAGTGTCAAAAAAACTCGTCAATATTCGGGGGTCCCCATCTCCAAATTGTTGAACAATACAGATGTAAATGTGAAAAAAGAAAAAGACACCACAGTGGATGCCACAGACAACAGCCTAAACTGAATAGGCCCTATTCAACTGATTTATCTTATAAATGAACTGCATTTAGTCCAGTGTGAGAAATACTACAGTAGATCCAAACCAGAGTCCTGACCCAGCGGCTGGAGCAGCTCTGGTCCAGGTCGGGCTCAGAGGAGCTGGAGCAGCTCTGGTCCAGGTCGGGCTCAGAGGAGCTGGAGCAGCTCTGGTCCAGGTCGGGCTCAGAGGAGCTGGAGCAGCTCTGGTCCAGGTCGGGCTCAGAGGAGCTGGAGCAGGGAGTGGTGTCAGGGGTCTCGGCCTCAGAAGAACCAAGTGTCTTTATCGCTGTTGGCTGCTGCTGTAGTGCTTCTGCTCCGGGCTGATGCGGTGAGTTTGTACAAAGTTCATGGTGATCACTTAAGATGAGGACGGCCGCGGTTTTAACGGGGAACATAGAAACCTTTCGCAATTGGAGGAACATCGGGAACATGGGACTCACCCTGTCCAGGTCCGTATGGGATGACGTCTGGACTTGTTTTTATTTTTTTGAGGCTCTTTAGGGGGTGTAATGGGTTAATCGCACACTGGCTGCCATAAATTGAGGAATTTATGACCCGACCACAGACAAGTCATGTTACTAAAATGTTAACCACTGTCATCAGGACCGTCAATATGGCGGCCAAAACAAAAACGGTCACGTGACTGCAGGGTCTCTCTAAGACAATTTCTTAACTCCTTTGAACTAGGGTTGTCCCGAACTGACCACGTGATCGGAAATCGGCGCAGATCACGTGACCGAGGACTCGATCTGGACTCGGTCGTTATGGTCCGATCAGGTAACGGATAAATAATAAACATATATAACACACAGGACACAACAGTTTTTCTGAG